GTACATAATTTTGAAAATTTTTCCATATGCAATGATGAGGATAATCGAATATGACTATCCCTCCTGATTCTATGATTTAGCGACAGACGAAAAGATAATTTGTTTACTGGGCGAGCACAGTTTAGGTCGACTGTACATGGCATCGGTAATCACTGGGGTAAAATAATAACTTACCATACGTAGTAAATGTGAGTAGACACTCTGCAGGGTAATGCACAAATCTGCAAAAATATGCACTATATTAGCCACATTCTACGTAGTACTTGGCCCTGTTACGGTGTATTATAAATTATGTCTAAAAACTGAAAGCTATACATTCGTTTTTATTAAGTTACGCACTTTACCTATTGTCACACATTATATAATCTTGCAAACGAACAGTACATATTACACTTAAAAATATATGTCAATTTATAAACTACGTACTCATAACTTTCGTTAGCATATGTAACGCTTCATCCGACTTTTCTTCGTTGTAGGCAAGTGATTACAACGATGGTTATGGCGCTTAAGATGGTTGCGACATTGCTAGTGAATAAGCGATTGCCGCCTTACGAAGCGAATACTGAATACAAAGCTTGCTTGCAGGCGGACGCTAGATGTACCTTGTTAAACTCGGCAGGGTATCGAAAACGCCTGAAGAGTTATCACATTTATTTGATCCAGGAACAATGAAACGCTTGCGTCTTCGACGGAAGGATGAGGTGGGGCAAAAAAATGAATTCCATTAAATATTTATAATATGTGACATGGAGTATTATACGACAGACATTAACAGCTATATAGTTTACGTTACCGGTTACAAGTGACAACAGTTTATAAAACTATATACTGCTGTGTACTACATAGTACAGTATATCGCACAGAATCAACATTGGTCAAGTAACAGTAAACCATCGCTAGATATGAATATTTCAATGCATATGAAGATGAAGATATATAGACGCACAAATTCTTAAATTACGTTTTAAATCGAAAAAAATCCGCTTCCCACAAAATTCATCGTCGTTAGAGTTACAGTATAGTTCACTGTATAATGGAATATACGTGCATTAATATCATATTACACATATAATCATCATCAGTTCTCTGTGAGACCAATTTATGTCCTATATAATCCGCACTATCGTCTATAAGTTTTACTCTCCATGTCAAGAGCAATCTAAGCGTCAGAAAAACCAATTTATCGCACTAGTGCCCCTGAGGTCAAAGAGGACTCTATGTAGTAGCATCTGCTTCATAAAAAAAATTTCATTTTGTGCTGACAGCAGCTGCGCAGCCGAGCGAATTAACTTCTTGCTCATCGTATCGATACACATAAATATCAATTACCAGTTATGTATAGAACACCTTATTCATCCATTCACTCACTGACAGCTATTTCGGACAACTTTACCAGTGTTCTTCTTCCTGCACCAATACTGTAAGCTCCTGAGTTGAAATATAAAAAAACAGGAAAAATAAAATCACTAGGTTCCAAATCTGTCACTGGCCCGCGCCCGCCCCCCGTAACTACACCAAGTCAGTGGGCCTGATGTGGCCCTCTGGTGGCATTCGGAGCAGATGTTCAAAAAACCACATTTATACCTTTCGATCTGAAAAAACAGGGCTCATAATCTAGAGTACCTGGAAGTACTGCGTTCTAAACCTTGTTGAAAATCACTAACCTAGTAATCCTTCGACGATATATATCACTAGGTTAAGCTACTAAGGAGCTA